TGTCATTTAGGGAAATGAGCAAGTGTGTGACATGCAAGGCCAAGAGACCCATATTATCTCTTACTGTCATTAGTTGCCATCAAGATGACTATGCTTCATTGACCCTGTGAAAAATAGATCAGAACCTGCCCTACCCTGCACTGCCCTCACCATCTCTGTCTTGCTCAAGCCATTGTGATAATCACCCCATCATTCCATTGCATTGAGGATCTTCCTTTCTTTCACTGACCCTTTCCACCTTTCCAGGCACAATGTCTCTCTCCAATGACTAGTACTTCCTGAAAATAGGCCCAAAGTAAGTGAGACATTTCACTTATAAACTTAAACAAACAAACAAAAAACCCTCAAACCCATTGCTATGGATTCAGAACTGACCCACCAGTAGATTTTCAGACTGTGATTTGCGTGGGAGGAGATTGCCCATCTTTTTCTCCCTCTGAGTAGTCAATGAATTCAAACTGACTACTTTTAGATTGGCAGTGCAACTCCTTACACTCTAGGGCAGCAAAGCTCCCTAGTTAGAGCTGTAGGTACCAAGGAAGTCCTGTACCCAACAAATTTCTGTCATTCAACGAGAACAGAGAAGCCCAGAGATGCTAATGTGACGCAGAATTCAGTGTCTGATGAATTCAGGTCCAATGAAGGGTGCTTTAACTCATGCCCCTGAGTGACTGAGCACACCCCTCCTCAAATGGATCCTGTGGGCCCCACCTTAAGGCCACTGTTGGGGTGGGCTGGGGACACTTCCAGGCTCTGAGAGGAGCTCACACTCTAAGAAGCAGATCGGTGCAGCCGCTTGCCAAGTGAAGCCATCCAGGGGCAGTCACAGAGTCCCCTGTCAAGAGCACTGTTGCTTTCTGAGAGGCAAACTTGGTGCCCAGGTGAAATACAGCCTGTCACAAGTGAGGAAGAGTCTGCAGGCCTCCAGTAGGGTCCTGCAGATTTCTGATCTCTTCATCTCTATTCCCAGGTGTACAGCGTTACTAAAGATCTCAGGGGAGGCACAATAAAATTGTACAAATTGAATTAGCTTTCATCCTGTCATTGCATTTCAGGAGAAATCTTATTATCTAGGGAGTGCATCAGTAAATCAATTACATCCTTTAGTTTTAGAAAGTCACTGCACCCTTTATTTTTAAAGTCATAAAGCCAATTTTTTTATTTCTTTGTTGTTGTTGATTGCTTTCAAGCCAAGCACGACTTACAGCAACTCTATGAACAAAAAGGCTTAAAGACCCTCTATAACTATCAACATTTATCAAAGTTCATAGGGTTTCCGGAATCATGTTATTTAGGAAGTGGATGCCACTCCTGCTTCCAAACCTGTCATAATATGTTATTATTATATGCCATTGAGTGGCTAGCGACCCTATGTACAGCAGCTCTAAACCCTACCCTGAGCCAGTCTCACTAATTCTGACACACCAACCCCCATTGCCCCAGTTACTGTATCAATTCATCTCATTCTGGGTCTCCCTTTCCTGCACTGTCCGTCCACCCTTCCGAGCATGATGTCCTTCTCCAAGGGCCAGTCTCTCCTGGCCAAGTGCCCAAAGTAAGCAAGGCAAAGTTTCAAAATCCTAGCCTCCAAGGAGAGACTTGTTTCACCCTCTCCAGGACAGACCTATTTATTTTCTTGGCAGTCCATGGTATATTCAAGACTCTTCTCCAGCACCACAACTCAAACACATCTATTCTTCTGTCATCCTTAATCATTGTCCAACTCTCTGAAGTGTGACAGGTAATTGAGAAGACCATGGCCTGATTTAGGCACACCTTTGTATCCAGACTGACATCATTGCTCTTCAGCACTCAGAAGAGGTCCATGACAGCAGATTTTCCCAATGCAATTTGTCTAATGATTTCCTGACTGCTGGTGTTAAGAGTGTTGATTGTAGATCCAATCAAGCTGTAATTATTATCAACCTCAATCTCTTCTCCACCTAATATGGTGCTGCCAATTGGCCCAGCGGTGAGAATCTTTGTCTTCTTGATGTTGAGCTTCAATTTATATTGAAGACTACAGTCCTTGACCTTTTGCAGCAATTGCTTCAGGTCCTCTTCAGGTTTAGAAAGTAAGATTGTGTCATCTGCATATCATAGGTTGTTAATGAGTCTTCCTCCAATCCTGATGCCACACTCCTCCTCATAAAGCCCCGCTTCTTGAATGATAGGTTCTGCTTACAGATTGAAAAGGTACGGGGATATATGCATCCCTGACACACTCCTTTCCTCATTTTAAACCATGCAGTGTTTCTTTGCTCTGTTCTGAAGACTGCTTCTTGGTCCAAATATAGGTTTTGTATAAGCACTATCAAGTGCTCTGAGATTCCCATTTACCTTAAGGTTAGCCACAACTTACTGTGATCTACACAGTCAAATGGCTTTGCATAGTCAATGAAAAACAGATAGACATTCTTCTAGTACTCTCTGCTTTCTGCCAATATCCATCTGACATTGGCAATAACGTCCCTAGTGCCTCTGTCAATGCATCCTGTCCCTAGTTCTCTGTCAATGTACTGTTCAAGTCATTTCTGGATAATCATCTGCAGAATTTTGCTAGTGTGTGATAGTGATATTGTTCAATAATTTCCACACTCTGTCGGGTCATCTTTTTTTTGGAATGGGAATAAGTATGGATCTCTTCCAATCAGTTGGCCAAGTAGTTGTCCTCCAGATTTCTTGGCACAACTTGGTGAGCACATGCAGGGCTGTTTGCTGAACTACATCAATTGGTATTCCATCAATTTCTGGGGCTTTATTTTTTTGTCAAGTCCTTCAAAGCAGGCTGCACTTTCTCCTTCATCACCATTGTCTCTTGATCATATGTTATTTCTTAAAATTCTTCTGTGTCAGCCAATTTTTTTTTGATACAACGAGTCTGTACACTCCTTCCATTTGCTTTAATGTTTCTGGAATCATTCACTATTCTGCCCATAACATCCTTAAGAATTGCAACTCGTGGCTTGAATTTATTCTTTATTTCTTTTAGCTTAAGAAATGCTCAGCAAGTTCAACCCTTTTGATTTTCTGACTCCAGCTCCTTGCATATTTCATTATAATATTTGTCTTCCTGAGCAGCCCTTTGAAATAATCTACTCAGCTCCTGAACGTTTTTATTTCTTCTCTTTGCTTTGGCTTCTCAGCACTCTGTTGCAATATTGAGAGTCTCTTCTGACATCCATTTTGGTCTTTCTTCTTCCTTCTTAGTAATGACTTTTTGCGTTCTTAATGAATAATATTCTTGATATCTTCCCATAGCTTATCTGGTCTTCACTCATCAGTGTTCAAAGCCTCAAACCTTTTCCTGAGTTGGTTTTTAAATTCATGGCTCTCAAAGGAAATGACCAAATCACTAATAAAGTGGGAGTGACCATGCAGAGCATGCTGAGGGTTTTATCACAGTTGGTTTTATCACTGATTAACTTCCACATCATGATGTTCTTACCTAGTGAGTAGGACAGTATCATGTCTAGAAACTGTGGTATGGTAGTGATATGGGTCATTTGTTCGATCATGTCCATGCAGGTGCAGCAATGAGGATGGCACTAGATAGCTCGGAGTCACCAATAGCACAGAAGTTCCTACTGTGGCTCCACTGAGAAAAGTGATGTTGTGACTTTTGAAGAACCATTCATGGGCATTTGGAGAGTTTCAATTCCACAGATAGTTTCCCACATCTTTTCTGTGGATTGACACAGTGTCTGCAATCTTGAGCTCAAAACAGGCCATATTGTTGTTCTACTGTGCACATGAGAATCACATGGCAGAGCTGACTTCACATCCAGCAGCAACAACTCCTGTGGCCAGACAAGTACAAGGGTTTAATAATGAAAGAGAAAACAGCCACTAAGACTAGTTTAAGGCCTTGCTTCAGGAGGTCTGTGGGCAGCCCAGCCACCAGGCTCCTTGTGTACAAACTTCCCTGTGACACCAGATTTGGAAACCAGAGAGCCCTGGGGAAGTCTGCTCACATTTTCCTTCTCAGCCAGCAGCACTTTCTGCTTTCTTGGATAATTTACCACCAAAATCAGCAGTACTTTCTCGTTTCTCTCCCTTTCTGCTTTGAGGATAAATTTAACTGGGAAAAATAATCATATTCAGAGGAAAAAGACAGAATAGCCAAGTTAGTGAGGTTTATGCATAGTCAAAAGCTTGGTGTGGCTCTTAGCTGCTCTCAAGAACTGTTCCAGAAGGAAGACATATCCCAGAAATGCTTGTCTGCTGTAATCTCATAGAAATGTGATTTCTGGTCCATTTGCTCTTTATCTGCAAACACGTCCATCAACCTAAGTGAAAATCAACCAGACTTCTATTGTATTCTTATATTTGTTATACATGACTGTGGTTAAAGCTGTTGTATCATCAAGCCACACTTCTATCCTACACCATCCTCATAATCTCTGACATATTTGAGCCAATTATTGCTGCAGTTACCATGTCAATCCATCTTGAGAGTCTTCTTCTCTTTTGCTGACTCTCCCTTTCTGAGCATTTATGTCCTTTTCAAGGAATAGCCTCTCCTAGCAATATGCCCACTGTATGTGAGACCAAGCTCTATCACCTTTGCCTCCAAAGAGAACTCTGGTTGCACCTTTCCCAAGACATATTTGTTCATTATTTTGGCCATCCAAGGATACTCAGTACTCTTCCAATACTACAGTTTAAAGACATCAATTCTTCTGTCATCCTTATTCATTGTCCAGTTCTCAGATGTGTAGCCGGCATAGGTAATGTTTCAAAATGCTTCCTTGATGTCCCAAGACATTTTAGATGTTTTTAATCTCACAACTGAGTTATCTGCCTGGAAATCTATTTCTCTTAATATGTTAAGATGTTTCTCATTCAAAGACCACACAAGCATCAGTTGACTTGCCTCTCCATTTAGAAACTGTTGTCCATCCCCCACACTGAGGGCTGTACACGGGAAGAAATGGTGTGCATGGAGGAGGCAATAGTGCATGGGGAGCTAATAATGGTATTTGCTTTCTCTGCTCCAGGTGGTCGTTACACTGGGGACCACGTCTTGCTGCTCATTTGATAACCTACAGGAAGTGGGTCCCATCTGTAAGTATCCAGCTGGCTTTTCTTTGGAAAATGTTTCTCAGCTGGGGAACTTGGCAGACCTTTCATTTGAGGTTCTCTCCTCTCCTTCCTCCTCAGTAAATTATTGTCATCATGGTTTGCCAGACTTGGTTTGCTTTTGAAGTAACAGCAATGTCATTCATTTGAGCTCCACAAACTAGGATTTGGGGAAAATTGGACAAGAGCTGAGCGATTTTCAGTTTTTCTTTTTTTTTGGTTGCCATCAAGTCAGCTCAGGCAGATGGTGACTTCGTGGGTTATTTGAGTTTTTGAAAACATATCCTCAGGCCTGTATTCTGAAAACATATCCTCAGGCCTGTATTCTGAAGGGCCGCTGGCTGGACTCAATCTTCATCTATTTGGTTATTGACCAAGTAGGTTTGCACCACCTAGGATTCCTGTTTGTGAGAAAATAGACCAGTATAAAATTTATAGGAAAAAAATTTGACAGTGTTGTGGCAATGACACAGAATTGAGAGGACCTGTTGGCCCACTGAACACAAACATCGACATTTTAGGTAGCCACGCTCTTATACGTGAAGCAGGATATCTTGCTGGAATCCAGTCTTTTTTATTTATTTATTTTAGCCTTTCTGGAATTACTTGAAGTAATTCTGGTGTTCTAAGTGAGCTCTGGTGGCCAACTGGCTGTGCTGCTAACCCATAGGAACATGACTGAATTAATTTACCAGTGGTTCAGTGGGAGAAAAATGGAAAATCTACTCATAAATTTATAGACTCTGAAAACACAGTGGAAGGTCGGCCATGAATTGGTTCCCACTTGATGGCAATGAGTTTGAAGTTTTGGGGCCTATGAGGTTTTGTAAAGGAAATTAAACATACCAACACAATTAAAATGGAATTCTCAGAAAGATCATCAGACAATTCAGACACCTCATCCTTCTCTCAGTAAAATCAATTGGATTTTCTTAGAGACTAAAATTCTGTGTTCTCAGGAGCAGCTACTTTCACTGTCTAAAATGCCACAACTCACAAATCATACTCTCTGGACTCAGGAAGTTTCTGGGTGTTTCTGTGGTTGGAGGATTTTCAAGAGCAGGGGCCTGGATTTTTGAGTCTCAACTCAGTGTTACTCCTGGATTGTGAGCAATCAGACAGCAATGGTGGACAAGCACAGGGCTGGCTGGCCACCAGAGCTTCCGTCACTGACCATTGGGAAGACCTGTTATAGTGGAGGTCACCGGCCCCTGAATTGTGTAAGTCATATAAATATGGTGTTCAAACACCAAGCACACTGTCACCTCTGCTAACCAAAGCATCATATAAGGCCACACACAGATGTATGTAAGGACAACCAGCTGAAGAAGTGGTGTTGGCTTGAGACAAGGATGACCTGCCAGGGTTATGGCTATGGGGTCAGGCTCCTCGCTTGTAAATTCCCATCACCTTGGCCAGACAGTGCCAAACCCTTCCCAGCTTAATGTCAGGCTAAGAACTCAATGTGCTGGCTGGCCCTGAGCTGATGCAACTCCACAGGCTCTCAAGCTTAATTGGTGTGCCACGGCCTCTTGTAGAACAGATTCCAGGCAACCTCAGCTGTCCCTGGCTGCCTGCTGGGCTGGGCTTGAGGACTGTGGCTGGAGCTTGATTTGTGATGTGTCTGCTGTCAAACACAGAGTCTGTCCTGGCATGGCCTGAGGCAGCTAGTATGGACCAAAGTCCACGACTGAGGTTAATTTTGGCACTTGTGCTAGTTGTCATTGACAATCATCTCAATAATCACTTGAAAGGCCTTTACTATAAAGTAAGCACATTCCCATGGTCTCTCATTTGATACTATTTATGTGCCTGCCATCAAATATTCCGCATCCTTCCAGCTCTTCTGTAGGCCTGAACTGGCTATGTTCCCTGGTCTGAATAAAACATCTTAAGGTCTTAGAAAGGTTTTTGCCCATGACCAATTGATGAAGAAAATCAGCCAACTACTGCTTCAGGAAGCATCTCTTCATTTATATGCACTTTACTCTGATCTGTCACAAAAACTTTGTAAATTAATTGCTTGCATCAATTAATTGCTTTGCTCCTTTTATTTAGAAGAGGGTGTGATATGAAGAATATGTTGCAATTAGTTGGACATGAGTTATGGAGGGAGAGAGACTGTTGAAGATAGCTGGCACTGGCTAGAAGAAACCTCCTCAAAGAGCATGGTAGGAGACACTGGCCCAGGCCAGTTGGTGAGGTCCTGTCCTCATTTCTGAACCAGGAGAATTCACCTCCCCTCCCATGTACACTGCCCATGGACGTGTCTTCTGTCCTTCATGCTCATTCCAGATGTGGCCATCTTCCTGCTCTAAGGGGACACATTGACTACTGGATCAGCCTGTAACTCTTTCAAGGGTCCAGAGTAGTGTCATTGTTGCTGTTGGGTTTTGTTGAGTGAATTCTAACTCACAGTGACTCCACAGGGCTGAGCAGAACTGCCCCAGATATTTTCTAGGCACTGTTCAGATAGCAGCTAAGCACCTGGCCCCTGCACCCTTAGAGCTTCCTTTATGTCACCGTTAACAGACCATATACAAGACAGAGTCCAAGAAATTAACCAAATGCACTCTTTCTTCTCTTACTCATTTCTGATGGCAATTGTACTTTCTTTTCCTAGAATGGCACCTTGGTCTTTTTTCTACCTTCCGTCCCTCTGGGCACTTTCATACATTTGAAATAAAGGCAAAGCCTGTAAGTGTTGGCCTTGTGCTGGGGGAGGCTCAGGATAAGATCTTGGTGGTGTTGTTAAACGTCATCAAGCTGGTTTTGACTCATAGGCTCCTTCTGAACCTTGCCCTATCCTGCACCATCCTCACTATTTCTGATATGCTTGAGCCCATTGTTAAAGTGACTGTGTCAATCCATCTTGTTAAGGGTCTTCCTTTCTTTTAGTCACTCTCCAGCTTTCCAAGGATAATGTCCTTCTCCAAAAATTAGCCCTTCCTGACAACTGGATCAAAGTATGTAAGATGAAGTTTCACCATTCTTGCCTCTGTGAGTGCTCTGGTGACACTTTCTCCAAGAGAGGCTTGTTGTTCTTTTGGCAGGCCATAGGATGTTCAATTCTCTTGGCAAACACTACAATTCAAAAGTATAGGTTCCTCTGTCATCCTTATTCGTTGTTCTAACTTTCAGATGCATTGTTGCTGTTATGTGCCATCGAGTCGTTTGCGACCCTATGTACAACAGCCCTAAATCCTGCTCTGTCCTGTGCCAATCGCACTGTCTCTGACACTCCTATCCCAATTATCCCAGTCACTGAATCAATCCACCTCATAGAGGGCCTTCCCCTCCTGTGCTGTCCCTCCACCCTCCCAAGCATAATGTCCTTCTCCAAGGACCGGTCTCTCCTTACAACATGTCCAAATTATGTTAGATGGAGCCTCAGAATTCTTGCCTCCAAGGAACCGTCCGGTTTAACCCTTTCCAGGATGAATCTGTTTGTTTTCCTAGCAGTCCATGGTACTCTCAATACTCTTCTCCAGTGTCACAGTTCAAAGGCATCAATTCTCATTCTATCCTCCTTTGTCATTGTCCAACTCTCTGATGCATAGCACGTGATAGCAAAGACCATGGCCTGTATCAGACAAACTTAGTCTCCAGAGAAACACCATTGCTCTTCAGTACTCTGGAGAGGTCCCTAACAGCAGACTTTCCCATGGCAATATGCCTTTTAATTTTCTGGCTACTGGTGGTGAGAGTGTTGACTGTAGAGCTAAGCAAACTAAAGCTGTGAACAATCTCATCTCTTCACCATCCATCCTGATGCTGCCAATTGGTGAGAATCTTTGCCTTCTTGACATTGAGCCTCAATCCATATTGGAGGCTGCAGCCCTTGACCCTCTGCAGCAAGCGCTTCAGGTCCTCCTCAGTTTCAGCAAACAGGGTTGTGTCATCTACATAATGCAGATTGTTGAAAGATCTTCCACCAATCTTGACCCCACAGTTTTCCTCATAGAGCCCAGCCTCCTGGATGATCTGTTCTGCATACAGGTTGAAAAGGTATGGAGATAGGACATATCCCTGGCATACGCCCTTCCCAATTTTGAACCATGCAGTGTTCCCTTGCTGTGTTCTGATGACTGCCTCCTGGTCCAAATATAGGTTTCCCATTAGAACGATCAAGTGTTCTGGGATTCCCATCCTTCTCAGAGTCAGCCACAATTTATTATGATCCACACAGTCAAATGCCTTTGCATAATCAATGAAACACAGATATACATTCCTCTGATATTCCCTACTTTCATCTAAGATCCATTGAACATCAGCTACAATATCCCTAGTACCATGACCCCTTCTAAACCTAGCCTGGACTTCTGGCAGTTCTCTGCTGATGTGCTATTCCAGTCGTTTTTGGATAATCTTCAGTAGAATCTTGCTTGCATGTGAAATCAATGATATTGTTCTATAGTTTCCACACTCTGTTGGGTCACCTTGAATGAAAGATTTCAAAAGGCAGCATGTGATGACAAAGTAAAATATTACAATGAAGTGTGCAAAGAGTTGGAGTCAGAAAATCAAAAGGGTGAAACTCGCTCAGCATTTCTTAAGCTCAAGAAACTGAAGAACAAATTCAAACCTTGAATTGCTATAATCAAGGATGCTTTAGGCAGAATATTAAATGATCCAGGAAGTATTAAAAGAAGATGGAAAAAATATACTGAGTCACTGTATCAAAAGGAATTGGCAGACACAAAAACAACATATGAGCAAGAGCCTATGGTAATGAAAGAAGAAGTTCAGGCTGCTTTGAAGGAAATGGCAAAAAATAAAGCTCTAGGAATAGATTGTATACTAACTGACATATGTCAGGTAACAGATGCTTCCCTGGACGTGCTTACCAAGTTGTGCCAAAAAATCTGGAGAACAACCACTTGGCCAACTGACTGGAAGAGATCTATATTTGTTCCCATCCCAAAGAAAGGTGACCCAACAGAGGCACACCTTAGTCTTTAAATTTAAATCTTTGCTTTTTAGCACTTTGTAGATGCCCTTGACAACAAATTTTCCTAATGTGGTCTGTCTATTTGACTGCTGCTACAATGAGTATTGTGGATTCAAGTAAAATTAAATAATCAACAACTTTAAGTTCTTCTCCGGTCCTTGGAGAGGGACATCATGCTTGGGAGGGTGGAGGGATGGTGCAGGAGAGGAAGGCCCTCTATGAGGTGGATTGATTCAGTGACTGGGATAATTGGAATGGGAGTGTCGGAGACAGTGCGATTGGCACAGGACAGAGCAGAGTTTAGGGCTGTTGTACATAGGGTCACTATGAGTCGCAAGCGACTCGATGGCACATAACAACAACAACAACAACAAGTTCTTCTCCATCCCTCATGATTGTTGCCTATCCTGGCATTGTTGTTGCTGTTAGGTGTGCACAATGGACCAACACCCTGTCCTATCTGTGCCATCCTCATCATCTCTGATACACTTGAACCCATTGCTACAGTCACTGTATCAGTCCATCTCATTGATAGCTGTCTTCCCTTTTGTTGACCCTCCACCTCCCCAAGCATATCTCTCTCCAAGTTTGAGAATAGTATATCCTCTTCTAGGAACATATTGTGGTACAAAATTACCAAAAGTTCCCTCTCCTCCCAAGGGTGGTGGTTAGTTGTTAATTACTGGTGTGTCAGCCCTGACTCATTTCAATTCTGTGTATTCCAGAACAACACTTTGCCTATCTTTCACTATCTTCACAATTTTTAACATGCTTAAGTCCAGTCATATGGCCACTTGGTATTTGAATGTATTTAACTTAGAGGTTAATCTTGTAGCACTATGTTGTAGTTGTTGTTAGGTATTGTTGAGTTGAATACAATCCATAGTGATCCTATGAACAACAGACCTGAACTTGAACTCTGTCCTATCTTGTGCTGGCCTCACAAACCGCTGACATACTCAAGCGTATTGCTGTAGACACTGTGTCAATTGATCTGGTTGAAGGTCTTCTTCTCTTTCACTGATCCTCCGCCTTTCCAAGCATGATAGCCTCTCCTAGCAACATGTCCAAAGTATAATAAATGAAGCTTTATCACCTTTACCTCCAAAGAATACTCTGGTTGCATTCTTTTCAAGACATATCTGCTTGTTCTTTTGGCGGTCCATGTGATATTCAATATGCTTCTCCAACACCAGAGCTCAAAGGCATCATTTCTTTTTCTATCATCCTTATTGTACAATAATTCTATGATCGACCCTAATGCCCTCACTATTACTGAGTTCTAACTCATAACAACCCTCTATCGAGTTTCTGAGGTTTTGAGTGTGGATGGGATGAAACTGCCCATATTTCTCCAGAGCTGCTCAGAGATTTGATCTACTGTAGATTTGGACATTTTGGTTAGCAGCCTAGAACGCTACAGACTCTCTCACCCACACTCCTGTTTGTAAGGCTATCACTGGCTAGTTTTTTTTTGTAACTAGATTGCCAGTCTTTTCTTTTGAGTGTGTGTTAGTCTGGAAGCTCCACTGAAGTCTAATCTTTGATAATCCTGTTGATACTTGAAATGCTGGTACCACAATCAGCACAACACACAAGACACCACAGTGCAACAAATCAAGCATCATCTCCTCAGAAGAAATGCTGGTTAGGATGTGGTGAGATTAGAACTCTCATTCACCACTGGTTGGAATGTAAAATGGTACAACCACTATGGAAGGTGGTCTGAAGCTTTCTCAAAAAGTTAGTATTAGAAATACCATTTGTCCAGTTTTCCCACTACTTGGAATATATCCTAAAGAAATCAAAACTGTGATGCAAACAGAGGTGTGAACATGTTTGCTGCAGTGTTATTCATAATAGCAAAGAGATGGAAGCAGCCCAAATGCTTGTCAACAGATAGAACAGTGGCATATTCACAAAGTGGAATATTACACAGTATTGAAAAACAATGAACTTGTAAAACACTATGGAAGAATCTACAATACATCATGCTATGTGAACTATCTCAGTCACAAAAGGACAAATACTGCATAAGCCCACTGTTATAAAATAGGAATAACAAAGGGCTGGGTGGGAGAGAACAAAAAAAAGTGGATCGAGCATGCACACAGCACTGAAATAGAGGAAGGAAAGGATTGTCTGAAAAGAATACATTATTAAGCATTATAACAAATAACAATACGGAACAAGAAGTGTATTACAAAGTGAATTAAGGGAGAGGAGGAAAGGAGAGGGAGAAAAATATGCAGCAATGAATGATTGAAAACTCAACCTTTCTGCCAGCTCTCATTAAATTCACAATTTAAAAAAAATCAATGGGGGGAAAATGCAAATTCCAGTACTTATACATACCACAGAACATCTTTTGTACACATCATAACTTTGAAATGAAAGTTTTTGCTAGTTTCAGCTCTAGATATATTTAATGCATTACAAATAAATATATAAATAAATAAATTCATTATTTTTTAAAAAGAATAATGGCTTAAAGAGGGAGAGAATAAAGAGCTGAGGAAGACAATTCTATCTTCCACATCCAGTTTATAGTACATTTTTTACCTTCTTTCTTATCTTCCTAGCTGACATGTTCCCTGACTCATGATTTAGCTCAAACCTGAAAACTTACTCTAACTTACTCCTCATAAGGATTATAGCTGCTAAGTGATGGGTGATGGATAACCCAACATAGCTTTAAGTTGAAGAAGCATACTTAAATAGGAGACTGTCCCATTTCCAAAGTAAAATATGGTCTTTGCCCTCAAGAAAGTTGAGGGCAATGCTGTTACAATACTGCTGGAAAGTGAAAACCATAGACATGAAAGGTGGAAAGAATTCAAGAGGGTATAAACTAAATGGCTAACCCTCTCCATGGGAGGATGATAAGAGGTTGTTATAGACTTAAGTGGTCAATGTATATACTCTACCTGACCCTTCCTCAAAATACGTTTGTCAGGAATGAAATGGATGTTGATGAAAATGCAATGAGTTGGATGATATGAGAAAACAGAAAAAAAGTAATGCAATTGGGGGGGAAAATACCTGGCTGAGGAAGTGGGATGATGTTAAGAGAATGCAGTAAAGGTAAACAAAGCTATAAAGATCTTGAACACACCATAGGGTAAACTGTATTCCATTCCTTTAATTTTCTAAGCACACCAAGAACCAAACATCATCTCAAGCCAATAGGACACAACCCTCAATGTCATTGCATTCATATGAAGAGAGTCTTTTAGAGATCTAGTCATTTATAGTCTGTAAGAAGAATGCTGGGCGTACAGGGTTGATGTTAGATTTTGCATGAGGACAGAATCATTTGATAATTCACAAGTGGCTTCTTGATTCCAGGTAACCAGGAGAATGTGTGGCTGCACATCGATGCTGCCTATGCAGGCAGTGCTTTCATCTGTCCTGAATTCCGGCACCTCCTAAATGGAGTAGAGGTGACTATGCTCTTTGACCTTTAATAAGGTGATATTTCAAGGAATTTGTCATCAATACTGTCTTTCTCTGTGAGACATTTAATGTTGCACTGTACTGATTTGTTTCTTTGATTGTTTGCAAACAAATTCCCCCGATCCTTGGCAAGTATACATCTTCATGAAAAGGGTTTAGAACCGCCCAGAGAAAGTTCTGAAGAAGGTCCTGCCTTCTACAAATACCCCTGATGTTTACAGCTCTTGCTGAGTCTATGTCATATCCAGATAGAATTAGTATAACAAGGTAGATTTTAATATAAAAAACATGATGAAATATAGCTCATTCTTCATAACATATCATATTTTAGCTTACAAAATAAGTCTTAATAAGTTTGAAAAAATTTTGAAATTATAGAAATTATTTTCTCTGATCATAATGGTGAAAAGTTAAGAGTCAGCAACAGGGGGAAGCAATCCTGTAAAATGCACAAGCATAGGAAAATTAAACAAACACCATACTGATGAGTCAAAGGAGAACTAAAAATATAAATTACAAATTTCTTAAAGGAAAATGAAAGCACAATATATCAGACATCATTGGATGTAGCCAAGGCAAAGTTCAGAAGGAATGTAGAGCAATGCATGCCCATATGAAAATTAACAACTTGGCCTGACAACGCTAAGAACCAGAAGGAAAATAGCAAACTGAGCCCAAATCTGCCAAAAGAAAAGAACAGTCAAGATTACAGGATATATAAACAGAGACGTAAACAACAGAAATCAACAGAAAGAACCCATAAAACCAGAAGTTCGTTCATGAAAAGACAAACCTTCAGTTGGTTTAACCAATAAAATGTCTTAGGCTGAGTTTGTTGTTGTTGTTGTTATGTGCCGTCGAGTCACTTGGGACTCATAGCGACCCTATGTACAAATAGCCCTAAACTCCGCTCTGTCCTGTGCCAATCGCACTGTCTCTGACACTCCCATCCCAATTATCCCAGTCACTGAATCAATCCACCTCATAG